TACGTGAAGTACAGTATTTGTTTGATTTTAATACTATTTAGAGCATTTTCCTTTTTTATTCATAATTTGCTATTTTTGCTTTTTGTTTAACATGAAATTGAAAACGTTACAGATGCTCTATTATAATATATACCTGTATGTGGAAAAAAACAAATATAATCAAATGTTTTTATTTTGAGACACATTATCATTGTATAATAATACTAATAATAATAATTAAAAATACTGTACACATTTTTGCCTTATTTCAGCTTTATATTTGTTTTGATATTACTTCATATGACAATTGTTTAAATAATGTTTATTTCTGTCATCATTTGATTTATTTCATTAGTATACAATAATATTCCTATTAACTTTTTCTAATGTGTATTTTTATATAATACATATAATATTGAAGGCCAAGTCAATCGCATTTATTAAACTGTACTCACATTAACATATTTCTGGGGTTATTTGAAAACACAGAGTTTAAACTACAGGCTACCACAGGGAGAGAATGCCTAGCCCACAGTCGAACCCAGGGCACAAGAGCTAAGGTCTCAAGAGCCTGCTATTCACTGTGTTAATGTTTCATTTTTTAAAGTATTTGAAATAGTGGAATTTGTTAAATCTCGGTCTTACCTTTTCAGATAAAGATTAGGCTACTGAATCTATTTTATTGTGTGGCACACTGAGAACAGCAGTAGTTTGTCCAGCTATTGGAGTCAAAGAGAAAGAGAACAACTGTATCTTCTTTGTCAGGTGCAAGATGGGGAACTTCCTCTGGTTTTGTGCTGAACTGCTTTTTCTGCTTTCCCTCTCACAAGCACTTGAGACAGGTAAGTGTGGGACACCTCTGTGCCACTGAGTTCACTTGAACCCAGGATGAGTTACAAATACAGAGTTAAGGCAACACCAGAAGGAGACAGTGAAGAAAACACATGTAAGAAAAGAAATGAGAGATATAGGGTGATGGGGTTTTTAATTTGCTGTAACAATCAGAAATTGTAACCGTAAATTGTGAAAGTGCCAAGAATGTAATAGAATATACCTATGAAATAATCTGTCATGAAAACGGATGGCTGATGATTAACTCAAGGATTTCAAAGATCAGAGTTAATAAATTCAGAGTTAAAATACACATTGATGATAATGTCTTACAGTCTGGCTCATAGGTTCTATCAATCTCATGTAATTAAAACACATTTGTTTTTATAAATATGCATTTACTATCGTGAACTAAACATTAAATGTGCATTTGGAATAATAGTTAAACTCTTGAGAATTATGATGTGACTAATTAAGTTTTATACTCAAAGATCCCATTGGCCAAACATCCTTTGATAGTTTAAATTTTGCACTGGTAAGATGGAGATGGCAGGAGATGGATTAGTCTGTGACAGTGTGTTCTGAAAGTCCCTGTGCAGACAGAAGAGACAGAGAAGGAGCTTTTCTCGGCATTGACTAACAGCTTGTGTTGGCCTTTTGCAGCTTCTCCAAAATTAGTGACTGACTGACTTCTGTCTTTAGAACAGTCTGCACACAGTTTGTCTTCTTGGGGTCAGGCTGCAAGGGAGACAAAAGGGGAACTTGGTTCGTCCTAGCTATAGCTTTGTTCAGAATATGCTTGAATATTCTGGATGTCAATCATTTGAAAACAACGATGGGTTTGTGAACACAAGATTGCTTCTGTTTCAGAGAGAATATCTTGGGCAGCCTGATGTCTCAGCCTGATGTCTTGGGGGAAGTTTAAATGAGTTGGACTGCTTGTAGTCAAATGGTTGTAAAAGACAGATAGCCAATTTAGATGGAGAGAAATTGGAAAACCACTGGTCAACCTGTGAAAAATCAGTGGGTTCTTGCTTAAGGTTTGGCATCACAACTTGGTGATTGGCTAAAATGTTATCAGATTTGGTATACAGTATATCATTACACGGTTCAGCACTGATACAGCTTTACAATGTCTACAGTATTTCAGTGGGGCCTCTTTAGCCACATTCCTCTGCATTTAGAGAGAGGCACGAGGCTGCTTGGTCGTGGCCCACAAAGATAATCAGAAGTCTTTAATAACACGGAATTCTAAGTGAATTAATATGCCTTGTGTCTTAAACAAAGCACACAAGTACATCTGACTGACTGTCTGACAGTAGATAGTTCTGATGGAAGTTGATGCAATCTGTAGCCTATTCCAGAAGTACATGTTTCAAACTGTGATACATCCTGAATATGACACCAGTCAAAACCACAGGTCACAAGTACTTCACAAACATGAGCAGATTTGCACACTGTATGCACTAATACACATTTGCATAGCTACTCAGTGCACAAGTACACACATAATAATAA